TCATCAGAGTATGAAGATTTCTGTCTTCTGGGTTGTTACGCTGTGTAGTCTGGTCGATGTTAACCAACGTTTCGGAGGTCATACTGCCTCCGTCATCAGGGCGATTCATCAACCCAGAAGACAGAAATCTTCATACTCACCGCTGCGAAAACCTCAAATCATACTTGATCAGAGATGGCCGAGGTGCTGTTTCATACCAGTTTCAAAGTGTCTTTTTTATCGAAATTTTCCAACATTTTTGTGAACAGTTGATACGGAAGTAAACGAAGAGCACAGAAATAAGAGAAAGGAATTCGAAAGAAGGCCAAACAAAGCTAAATTGAGGGGAGGCGGAAAGAAAGAATGAAAGAAAAATAGGGGTCTGAGGAAGTAAAAGACACGATCATGTGGGATGACGTTGTGCACGGGGGGAGGGGGGCCTAATGTTACAACGATCACGAAGAGAAGACAGAGAGAGGAAGACAGACAAATAGCTGAACCAGTCAACTGTGTCTAATGCATCTCTTCTTCTTTCTGAGCAAGATGCCAACCCTAACCTCACTTCTGTTATGTTTGCTCATTCTTAGCCAGGATGTGTTCCGGATATAAAATAAGTTTTAACTCGAAAAGAGCAGGCGGAGGGGGGGGGGGGGGGCGTGGTAGAGGTACAATCCAAACAGCAGATAGAGAATGGGTTAGAAGTCTGCAATCAACGTAGGAAGTAGCTTTCCTTAACTACCCATTGTTGTTTTACATGAACTGTTAGGACAATAATACCATTTAAGATAAAATGGGTGAAAATCTGCTGTAAGACCTCTTGTGACAGGATAATATTAAAGTGAACAAAGCTGCAAGTAAGTTTAGTGATGACGCTCTAGGATTTTATTCGGTGACCTATCATGCCATTAACTAAATTAAATGAAAATAGAAAGTAGTTCTGCGACTCATACCGTCGTTTTCAATTGAATCAGCTCAACGCTATCTAGTAATTTCAAGTTTATTAGATGAACTGTAAATGTTCTTCATTTCTCCACATGTTTCGACCGTCGCTTGCCACCCTCTGACGTAGATGAAATGTAAATCTTTAAGGCACAACCCACATCATGTTGGACAGATAATCATGGTTAATTTAGAGGCTGACGCAAAAAACATTTATAACTGGCCACTCTTCCGCTATACCAACCAGCACCACTAAATTCAACTCGACATTTACCGCCTGACCTATAGAAGGCTTACAAGAACGCCCAACCATTCATTACACATTGACCCTGAAGATGGCAAATGCAATGCTTGTCGAAACGATGTATAATTTTCAAAATCCAACGCGAAACATTCCCGAAAGTCGAAGTTAAAAAAGGACACGCATCATTAAGTCTAAATTCTGGCCATTTATAACCCTAAAACACGTTCTGGCTACCATTAAAGGAAAATAGTCTCGAGTATTTGAAGCGCACTATTAGTCAGGGAATCATGAAAATCCATAAATACGCACTGTGAGCAAAACGCAGAGGGAATATGTCCGCTGCAGCTCATTTCTGATAGGGCGCCGTACAACACCAGGGCCCACTTGCGTCGGTGCTGAGTCCTGTTTTCACGGTTTCGAGTCCCGTTGACAGTTTACGAGATGGGAAAAAAGCTGGCAGAATTCCTATATCCAAATTCCTGGTCTAATCTCCAAACACGCTACATGAATGTTAATTAAGAAGATTAAATGCATTTAACATGTCGGTATAACAAGACAACAAAATCACATCAGTGTGTTGTCAAGGAGTTTATCCCAATGACGTCACCGTCTAGAAACAAACCCTGGGACTGAAATTTTGAATCCCGTGAGTTTAGAAATGACCGATCAACGATCATCCTGCAAAATACACAACACGTAAAATAAGACAGAAAAATTTGAAATTTTTATTGCCTTAGCTTTGTTATTTAAGTCGTAATACGAACACCACAGAACACAAGGATTAGATGAAAATATATAAAATGGTCTAATATTAAAAAACAGCAAATAAAACAAATAATAGTACAAATATTATTAAAATATATATTTTTTAAAAAATCTTTTTCCCTATGGTGAATCTGTAACGAAACACAAGGATAAATAAGCCAAGTATGACCATTCAGAATAAAAATGTAGAGCGAACAGTTTTGAAATCACAAGACTTTTGTTTTCCAGAAAAGAAGAATTGATAACAACATATTTGGAAAATGTTCTACTCCGAATTTGATTATAGCTACACTCCTGTTTAGTATGATAATCATTTTGTACGAGTTGTAGTTAATTTCCGAAGTGTTGTGTCTACTTCTACGCAGTCGAAATAATCGGAAAACACAAAAGGCTGTTTTATTACCAATAGTATAGAAGTTTATGTAATATTTATGAATAATATTTTAGCCTTTGTTTCGTTTATGAAAGAAAAAAGTGACGAATAAGTTCCAAAAATTTTGTAACCGAACAGATGAACAGATTCGTTATTTCTATGAAATTCGTGCAAGAAAGGTGTGAAAATACTGTTGAGAACTTTATTTGGTATTGTACCGAAAAATGGGAAAAATTATACGTAGTAACAACATTTAAAATCTCTCACTGTCCAGACTACGGTTTTTACAGACCGAAGGAACACACATTAAAGCGTAAAGTGTAATGTCATAAAATATTCACCATTTTGATACATACATAACAATAAAATATCCATAAAATCAGTTATGCGGACATGAATAGTGATACATTCTGATGAAAACCGACTCGCATGTTTCTGGTTCAACTCCTTCCCTCACAGCATAAAATAGCAACATCATTTTACCTTTCACGTACTAAAAGCATTTTTATTCATCCCATCCCCTTACATAACTATTTTAGCGGATGTTGCAA